GAGCTTAAGTCGACAGAGCAACGGAACAATGTTCGCAAAGCATTGAGCGAGGTCAAGAAGCGCTTCCCTGACGGAATTGCTATCTTGGACCCAATCGAGAACATGGGCATTAAAGACGACAGCTTCAAGAGGCTGCTAAGGGTAAGTTTCACCATCAAGAATCTGCATTTTTGTCTAATGTTGTGCAGAAAATCGAAGTACTGGAGTCCCGTCTTCTCTCGAACCCTCTCCACAACTCGCCTAGGCTACCCGAACTGTACAGCCAATATGCGCAGAAGATTGCGATTGGTGAGAAGATCAAGAACATCAGGAAAGAGATTGCGAACGCTTTATCGGTCATTCAGTTAGACGAGTTGAAGAGCAGGAAACGTGTGTTGCGACGCCTCGGCTTCATCGACGAAGCCGATGTCGTGCAGCTAAAGGCCCGTGTCGCTTGCGAAATCAGCACTGGTGACGAGCTCGTGCTTAGCGAGCTGCTCTTCAACCGTTTCTTTAATGAGTTGACGCCAGAGCAGTGCGTCGCTTGTCTTAGCTGTTTCATCTTCGAGGAGAAGACGCAAGAAGTGCCAGCGCTCAAAGAAGAGCTTGCCAAGCCATACCGCGAAATCCAACAGCAAGCTAGGGTTATCGCGAAGATGTCACAAGAGAGCAAGCTGACAGTCAACGAGGAGGAGTACCTCAAGTCGTTCAAATACGAGCTGATGGAGGTCGTCTTCGCCTGGTCGAAGGGTGCGACGTTTGCACAAATTTGGTATGTTCGCTTTGCTACCGTCGCATTAAACGGCAACTAACTTCGAGCAGCAAAATGACCGATGTGTACGAGGGAAGTCTGATTCGTTTGTTCAGACGATTAGAAGAGTTGCTCCGACAAATGGCCCAGGCCTCCAAGGTCATGGGAAGCGAAGAGCTTGAGCAAAAGTTCACTGCAGCACTTGAGCTCGTCCGCAGGGATTTGGTCGCCGCCCAGTCCCTGTACCTGTAATGCGTGAAGCATGTCTTGTATATTATGGTATTGGTGGGAGTATTTGGTAGCATCATCGTTCAGCAGGTAAGTATGGCACTCACATGGCGTTCTCCTTTATGCGGTTGAATGAAAACGCCACCGGACATGCCATTGTCTCAGGCGCACGCAAGGAGCCATCGACGCTGTGCACCTCAAGAAGGGGCACAGCGTTAATGCGTCCTGAATAGAAATTCACTAGATCTGATGTTGTGGGCTTGCACCATGGCTGAGGATCCCCCACGTACATTTTTCCAGACATGCATGGTGATATGTGATGCGATATAGAAAGTGCCGCCTTAGCCGCTGCGATTCCTTTTGTGATGAGGGACCGCCCGAACACAGGGCATGAAGGGGCGATTTTTTGAGAAAAAGCAGAAATGGCGAGAGAACCCAACCTCAACCCCAGATGAAAGGGCAATTATCGTGGTTGACATCGGTGACATGTGACGTGATTGGTTGCGTGCACGGACTTGCCGGTTGTTAGCATATTCTTGGGCCTTCGTATGGCTCTGCTGTCTCCACCACAGCAACAACACAACACCCGACACCGCCCACGGCCCACGCAACGAGAGCCCGCCCATTGCATCACCGACCAGACATCGCTATCCGGCTCCCAACAAAGCAGGCGTGCGAAATCACTGCGTTTGCGGGCCCTTTCTCGTCATGAGTGTGCAGTACCAGCAGACATTCACGCCCCCTCATCTCTTGAACAACAACCGCCGCTCTCCCTCCCGCAACCGTACGTCCACTCGCTGCTCGCAACACCTCAACTCCATGTCAGCCACTAACTTTCACCCTCACGCAGCCTACTCCCCTTCCGCCGCCATGACTGGCCGCAAGCGGAAAGCCGAGGACGATGGCAGCGCCGGCGACGACGACCGCATGAGTGCATCGCCAACCACATCCTCCGCCGTACTCCCGCGACCCGCGCCGCGAGGCATGAAGCGCATGCGAACCAACATCTCCGGCCGCCCACTCCCGCTCCCTCGCCTCCTCGAGACGCTCAGCCCCGACGAGATGCGCAACCTGCTGCAGTCCATCTGCCAGCGCCACCCGGATATCGGCAACGAAGTCGTCACAACCGCGCCCCGGCCAAGCATACAGTCAACGTTGGAGGTCCTGTCAAAGTACGAGGCGGCATTCCAGGCAGCCTTCCCATTTGGCGGCCGTGCGTCATCAGACTATGCATACAATAGGGTGCGGCAACAGCTTGATGAACTGCTCGACTCCCTCAAGGACTTCACGCCTCACTTCCTCCCGCCGCACGAACACCAGCCCGCCACATCGCTCGCCTTCCTCGACGGCGCCACCGAGATCATCCATCGACTACCCAACTGGGATACGTACCAACACAACCGTCACAAGCAAGAGGCGTACGAGGAGATGGCCAAGGCGTGGGCGATGGTCATTCAGGAGGCAGCAAAGAAGGCGGGCGGAATACAGCTCCAATACGGCGGATGGGACGAGAAGATTGCGAAACACAATGAGATCTCGGGCGGAAAGATGCAGGAGGCAGTCAACGAGTTGCGCGGAGGACTCGGCTGGATGGGCGCAGAGACACCCAATCCCGCCGCCGGCGGGTCCAACGATGCCATGTCCATCCGCCAGCAACTGCTGAGCGGAAACTACGGAACGGGCTCCCCCGCAAGCATAGGCGCATGGTAGACCGACACAGCAACGCCCTTTGACCATCGACCGTCATCACCATTCCGCCACACTACAATTCCCATTCATCACAGCATTACTACCATGGCGATCTCCCAACAATTACGGCCTAATCCATAACCGCGAATGATACCATTGCATGGAGGCATATTCCCATGATAACGACTGCATAGCGTTTCCTTTCAGTCTTTATTCACGTACAACAGCATATGGCAGGGCGGTTCCATCATTGCACTGGCGTACCGGTTGCGACATCCACCACAAAGAAGACCCCCGAACCTCTGATCTTTTGTGCATTCCTGTTCTCGCCTGTTTTAGGGGCGTAATGTTTTGTCATTATTACAAGTCATGTACCCGGTTTAGGGGTTACTGTGCGGCGACGGATTACATTCTTTTTTTCACTTTGTTACTTGGGTGAGGGAGGAATGATACCATGCTCGGTACTGAAAGAGCGGATGGGGATGGATGGATGGTATATAGGTGGGTGGAAAGCTGGACTGGACTGGAGTATGGAGATGAATAGACTTTTTTATGTATATACTGACTGTTTCTTTGATGCAATCTTCGCATTACTTGGATGTTGCTGACTATGGTGTGTCGAGATGCTCTTTCCACCTGAACGCATTGTTTGGCACTTTCACGTGGCAACGCGCGCTAGCGCTGCGGCGCGAATCCACGGCGGTAATCACGACCCCGGACCTGACGTCGCACCTACGCCGCGCTCATCACGTCTCATCCTCACCTTCATCACTGCGGGTCTCTCGCGGCCATAGACGCTGCTGGACCTTGTCCTAGCACCCCCGACATCTGCTGCTCTGCCCGCTCGTTTCTGCCTTCAGCCCGCCGCCGTCCTCAAGATGGCGATCGCCAAAGCGCTTCCTAAACTCAAAGTCGAAGTATTCGTGAAGGGCGCTCCGCTGGAGGAGCACGTCGACGACGATGATCAACCTTCGGATAACGAGGTTACTAAATTCATCGAAGCTTCGTCTGGTGACAACTTCGAAGTCAAATACTGCTTCTCTCCTGGGTTCAGCATACGTCACGCCATGTTGATCGAGTTGGATATTGACGGCGAGTATGCCGACTCTGCTGTCTTCAACCCTGGCAGTTCTATTCGCTGGAACAGCACGTATGCCTTCAAGGGATCGCGGGAATTCGAAGATGGTGGATACTTTGTGAGGAAGTTCTGTTTTTCGCAGCTCGAAATTGATGGTCACGTCTTTCCCTGTCTCTTGAGTCACCAGGTCGCTGACTTTTGCTTCAGATGACGGTGATACACGCAAATTCGAGGACTCACTGAAGAAGAAGCTCCATAGTGTGGGTGTTATATCTCTGCGCTGTTACTGGGTGACAGCTAGCGGATCATCAGCCCCCAAATCTAAAGCGCAGAAGAACGAGGCTCTCGGTGTTGTACCGGAGAAGGCCCTCAAGGGCAGCGCGCTATCCCATCAGGCTAGGTCAGCGAGCTTCTTTCCCAATACTCACAAATACTTATACTGTGAATAGCTACGGCGCACGAGAAGTCAGTCAGGCGTACAGCACGTGTAGAACCACGAAGATCCACGAATTTCCGTTCGCAGAGTTCACTTTCAAGTATCGCTCGAGAGGTGTGTGAGCTTTTCGTGGTCGCCGTATTCCTACTAATGCCGATTCCATTTAGCTGCTCTCAAATCCCTCCTCATCATTCCACGAACTCCTAGTCCGGTACCGCTCGAAGAACGCGACATCAACACCCTTACCTTGGAAGAATCCCGCGAGCTCCTTCGTCTCCAGCGTGAGCAGATGGACGCCGCTCCAGTCATCAAGCGAGAGGGTATCAAGCGAGAACGAAGCAGCACCATCATCAACGAGGATAACGACGATGACGACGTAACTTTCTTGTCCGCCAAGCGCAGACGACTCCCTGTCACTCTCGATGAGAATGGTGCCGAGATTATCGATCTGACATAGGGATGGATCGGTACCTGTACCATGGTCCTGGCAGAGTTTTGGCTTTTCTCTTCGTTCTTTTCGAAGGCTCTCTAGCTTTCTGCGGCGCTGTTCTATTTGCTGGCGTATAAATAAGGCGCAACGGATTGACTCTAGCGCAAAACACCGCGGAGTGGTCTTATCGTAGTCACCTTGAGTACAAGCAAGGTTTAGTTCGAATTTCCTCAATCCAGCGTCTTTCTCAGTTGTTTTGTGGGCTTGTAGATTGGTCACCTCTCTCACCTGAGTAACTGTGAGCCCTAAGTGAGCACGATCCTTGTGCCTGGTCCCTCTAATCGTTCTCTAGCGACATTGTCTACTCAGTCTTTCGTAGCTTCTTCTCTTCTCTCTTCACTCCATCGCAATGGCCATCGCAACGGGTATCCCAGGTCTTGAAGTCACTATCGAGGTGGATGCTGCAGCACTACCAGAGTACGAACATGGAATCATCGAAGATGATGAGGTTGCAACCTCTGCATCCAGATACATCGAAGCGCCGCCAGCTGCCAACTTCTGCATTCGCTATTTGTTTCGTCCGCCTTTCACCCCGCCCTCGGCAGTGCAGATGGATGTATTGCTAGACGGTAACTACGTGCAAGCACCATTCGTCGAGTGGGGTGGAAGGGAAGAGTGCGAGGGATACCTTTGCTCACGATCCACTTCGTCGACTGGGGGACACAGCTTCACCCAGGGCTTCCAATTCGCTGAGCTGAGAACTGGTAAGCCTTTACGTCTAGCTATCTTTTCAATATGACTGACAATACATAGACGAGACCAACACACCGATGACGAAGGACCTCGCGGATCAGCTGTCACCCATTGGCCGCATTGTGCTTTACTTCTACTTCATCGAGCATCTGGAAGCAGTGAGACCGGCGGAAGTACCTCAGCTTGCTAGCAGCGAGTTTGATGTTCTTAGCGAGAAGGCATTGCACAAAGCGACTGCGATGCAAGGCGATCAGCTATCTCATCAGACTAGGTATGTGCTTCCCACGCATTACGAGGAAGGATGATCGCTTACATGGCCGTCAGGCTTACTGCACCCGAGCAACGTGACACTATCACTTACAACGAAGTCAAGACGACTGAGAACGAGCCTTTCGCAACGTTCACCTTCTACTACAGGTCGACAGGTTAGTCGCACGCATACACAGCAAAACCATATCGATAGCTAACGACCATACAGATGCGCTCAAGGCAATCGGCGTCATCCCGCGTACCCCAAGCCCATCTCCGGAGCCAGAATCAGAGGGTGAAGACAGGGATCCAGAAGATATGACCGAGGAAGAGTTGAGAGCAGTGGTTAGGAGCATGCGTGTAAGTCGCATCACAGGTTGGAGGCATGCGATTCATGAGTCTTGTACTGACCACCAACAGGAAAAGAACCAGAAAGCCATCATTATCAAGCGCGAACGCGAGGAAGAGCGAGAAGGCAGTGAGGATACCCTAGTTGGTGACGAGGTCGAGTGGATCGGTAGTCAGCCGGCACATCCGATTGTGAAGAGGATACGTCGCATTCCTGGTCCTGATGATGAGGTTGTGGCTCTGGACGATTGAACGTGCCCATCTTTCAGGCTCATCGATCATTCGATCTTGCGATCCTAGGTCATTGCAATGTTTCTAAGGCTTCGGGATCCGGTGTCATCCCTCGGTTGCCATTGGCGGCACTGCTGGTAGCATTAACGGACGATTATCTATTTCTTATTCATCTACTCATGCCTATCTTTACATGTTAGTTTTTCATTCTACAGTTCGGGGCGCTAGAAATACACGTCAAATCTGAGGCCACTTGAAGGGAAGGAGCGTCCAACGCGACAGCCACGTTCACCTCTCGTACTGCAGCGCGTGGTTTTCGTGACGCGTCGGAACCGAGAAATACTGGGCCACCATCTCTCACCTTCCAATACTCGCCTTCACCTCGGCTTCTGCGCTCCAGCACCGACATATTCAGTCGAGGTGAAGTCTTCTTACCAGAACACACCTTCAACACATTCTACGCATCGTAGACCTATCGCGGCTTCCTCTTACCATCATTTCTTCTCTCATATACCAATACCGTCGTACCTTCCCCAATGGCAATCGTCGATGAGGCCCCCGGGCTCGAAGTTCATGTCCAAGCTGATGGCAACCCGCTTCGCGAGTACATCGACCGCCACACCACCGTATCGGAAGCTATCTCCGAAAGCTACATCGAAGCCAAGTCAGACTCAACATTTGAAATCCACCACTCGTTCAAGGCGCCTTTCCCTATCGACCGCCCGGTGTCTATGATCGTCACCATCGACGGCAAGGATGTTGATGAGCCGCTTATTCGCCCGGACGAGCTTTACGACGCGAATGGCCACGTCAGCTCTGGACCGATATCGAACGATGGTAAGGACTGGTTCACACAGCACTATCGCTTCTCGCCGCTTGATATCAGTAAGTCATCTTCACCTCCCATTAAATGACGGTACACTAAGAGAAACGCAGGAGAGTACAGCGAGGGGCGCATCCCAGAAGACATGCAGAGCAAACTACAGCCTATAGGTATCATTACCTGCGAGTTCTACTTCCTCGACAACGCGAGACGCAATCCGAAGATGGCCTTCGTACAGAAGGAGTTGGAGAAGCTGGATACGGTCAACGAGAAGGCTATCAAGGGCGAGTCGCTGTCGCATCAGGCAGTGTATGTATGACTCAACCAGAATGTTTCTACGAGCTAATTTGTGTGCAGTCTTGGAGATACAGAGCCCACAGAAGAGATTCAGTACTACGATGCGGATTATGCTGATGGCGGAGAACCGTTTGCGACATTCCACTTCTACTATCGCTCACTCGGTAAGCTTTGTAGATATGGGTCAACAGAAAGCAAACACTAACTATTGACATTATAGCTGCGCTCAAAGACCTTCACATAATCGAACGTACGCCTGATCCAGTCGATGTTCTCGATAGCGATGATATGGTGCTCGGGCAGTTGAACAGGGAACAACTAGAGTCTATCGTCCGCCGCTTCAGAGTAGGATGATCCCCATTACCCACCCTACCAATTTACATGCTGAAATCAGCTAGGATCAAGAAGAGACCCGTGTACGCATGAAGCGCGAGCATTCCGATACCTCCACCGTGGCAGGCGACGACCACAACGTCGATAGTCGAGCTATAGCTTGCGACGACGACTTCATCGAGATACGCTCAGTTGATCTGCGCAAGAAGAGGAAGCTTGAACGTGTCAGACAGATGCCAAGCGATGAAGCCGAAGTCATTGTGTTGGACTGAGACAGGCGAGTGGAGCGCGCGGAGGCCGACATGGCAGTCATTTAGGAAGTCTTCACGAGATGAAGCTGTAATCTACGCTAAATTCACGGGTCTAGATATCAATACAGGCGTCTTCATGTCGCTCAGAACATTCGCATTGGTCATGAATAATAAGTGTCAATATCGTTCCAGATTCAACAACGCTGTAGCATTACACAATATATTTTCGACAAAGAAGCCACGACCGCCCTAAAAGGCCCAGTGAGAAAGCAGTAGAGTGCACAGCGAATGTTCTGAACACATAAAGTTCCCACCACGTCAACGATACGAAAAGACTTCATACAGTAGCAGGTCTAGAACAACCGCACAAATGGCAACCCCATACATTGATATATTGGCCAGCGGGTCTGCCAGCACACCCACCAATGCACAACCCAATATCCCACGTCTAGACCACCTCACGCTCCCCACAATCCAGAACGGCTATCAAAACCGCCTCTTCACAGCCGTCGACCTAACATCAGCCTGTCTAACTAGAATCCGCGAAACAAACTCCACATTCCACGCCGTAGCAGAGATAAACCCGGACGCTACATCCACCGCCCAACACTTCGATGCCGAGCGCCTCTCAAAAGGCCCCCGAGGTTCCCTCCACGGCATACCCATCCTGCTAAAAGACAACATACCCACTCTCGACGCCACATCCACAACATGCGGCAGCATGGCACTAGTCGGCGCCAAACCATCACGCGAAGCCGACGTCGTAAGCGCAGTACGAAAAGCAGGAATGGTAATCCTGGGCAAAGGAAACATGGCCGAATGGGCTGGTTTCCGTTCCACGAGCGGGTGTTCAGGCTGGAGTGGAAGAGGTGGTCAGACAACGGGTATATACTACCCTGGTATGAAAGCGAGTGGGAGTTCGGGGGGTTGTGCGGTGGCTGTTGCGCTGGGGATGTGTTTTGCGGCGCTGGGAACGGAGACGTGCTACTCGATTGTTTCTCCGACGGAGAAATCTGGGATCGTGGGCTTTAAGCCGACGCTTAATCTGCTCTCCTCTGAAGGTCTCATACATGCGTCTAAGAGACTGGATACCGTTGGTGTGCTCACGCGAACAGTCGAGGATGCTGCGCTCCTTCTTATTGGTATGGTTCAACACAGCGACCGTCTGCCCGCCCAGACAAATCAGAAGATAGTGCAAGATCTCAGCACCGCAAATTCAATTCCCCACCTTTACGGCATTCGAATCGGCATCCCCAGCTCCTTGTCCGACATGCAAAACCTTCCTGGCTGTAAAAAGACAGCATTCGAAAGAACGCTCAAACTGTTGGAAAGCGCCGGCGCAACCATTGTCCACAACGTCCCCGTCACTGCCGCAAAGGGCTGGGAAGCCCTTCCGCAAGAAGCCAAAGACATCGTCCTAAACACAGATATGAAGGTTGCAATAAACGACTACCTCTCCTCCCTCGCCACAAACCCGCATAACGTGCGTAACCTCGAGGACCTAATCGCGTTCACAAAAGGACACCCGGCAGAGCAGTACCCACAGCGGAATGTCCAGGGTCTGGAAAGGGCGCAGGCTTCTGATCCGAGCAATCTGCTTTACGAGAACATGCTGGCGAGAGAGGAGTATTACAAGGGTGAAGGAGGTATCGACGCTGCGTTGTGTAGGAAGTGTTGCGATGTCATGCTCGTGCCTACGTTGAGTGTTACCATGCAAAGCTTTGCTGCGAAAGCGGGGAGTCCCGTTATGAGTGTGCCTATGGGGGTTTTTGCGCGGGATACGCCTGTGGAGAAGGACGCGAGGAATGGGTTGGTTAATGTGGCGCCTGGGATACCGTTTTCGGCGTATATCTTTGGGCGAGCGACGAAAGATGAGGATGTGGTTAGAGTAGGGCATGTGCTAGAGCGGTTGACGAATGTTAGGGAGACGTTGGTGCCGTATGTAGATATGGGCGCTGGGACTGCTACGGCGCCTTGAGCTCTGGCTGTTAGAGAAGAGGCATCGAGATGACACGGTAGAATGGGAACATAGAAAGACACCCAGGAAAGTACCGATGATGGTAGGATGGGGATTCAATTCAAGATGAGACTCTCAGTATCCGATGCTATGCTAGTGAACATGAACCCGGGCGGTAGATGAGCCTGCTTGTAGTTCACGGTACTGTTCCAGTGAAAACTTCGTATCCAGTAAATGCTCCGTATTCAGCATTCCATGCGCGCTGCCAGCTGTACGATGCCATGATGTGCCTTGTAAATGTCCTCAGTCGAGCGAGATGACTTCGTCGGTGCTGGTGGGGAAGCAACGTCGCTTCGCGGGTCGCTCCTCTACCATCTCCACGTCTTCATAGTCATGATCGTCACCGGGGTGGTCGCGCTTGCGAGACTGGGTCTCCTCGTGCTTGAGCTGCGGTGTTATGTAAGCGTGCATTCTGAAAAGATGTAAAGAAGAACACTTACGTAGATCTTCTGCACCTTCTCCTCCGACAGATCTTCCTTGAAGGGCTCTGGGCTAGGTATGCGGGGGATTATGGACAGGTACTTGAGAGCTTCCTTGGACCGGTATCGGAACTCGATCTCAGCAAGAGGACGGGATGGGTTGTCGACATAGTCTGCCTCCATGAATGTAACGGGTGCAATGCGGTGCAGCGGGTCGAGGCTTCCAGAACTGTTAGCGCCTTGCAGGGAGGAGGTCATGCTATACATACGTTGTCTTGTGCGAGACAGACGAGCCTTTCAGTGCCTTCTCAGGGACCTCGTCGTACTCTCGCATGGACGGCACGTCCTTCCACGCGCGGGCAAAGCGTACGTTAGTAACTCGGTGAAAGGTGATTGAGATGTTGCCAGTCCATTTCAGCTGCTTCCAAAGCGCGTGGTCAATCTCGTAGTTGTCATCATCTGGATCTGTTAGCGGCATGGCACCAATGCTCACTGGCTAGACTTACGGGTGTTGAGATCAGCGAAGCGGAAGCGCTGGCCGAGGTACTTGTGACCGATGAGCGCGCTGCTGTCGTTGACCTGTCTTGTGATGCCGTAGAGGTCGTACTTGTGCCGCTCGAAGATGAACTTGCGCATGTCAACACCGTCGATGTTGACAATGACCTTGATGGAGTGGCGGTCGAAGACGTAGCCGGGGATGAAGAATCGGACGCCAAACTGCTCGCCCGCTTCAGCCTCGATGTAGACTACCTTGGACTCGGAATTAGCATCTTCCCGGTCAGCATGTTCTTTGACGGGGCGACCGTCCACGAGGACGGCCGCCTCGAGTTTGGGGAAGAGGGGATGGGGGGCCATGACGAGAGGTTCGGCTGTGGTGAAGAGGAGTCAGAAGAAAAAATCTACATAAATCGCGCCCTGCCTCCAAACAAACGGTGTTGCTGGGGGAAGGAGCAGTGAGTACGTAAGCAGCCACGTGCTTCATGCCCAGGAGGAAGGCACGACGCGACACTGTCCTCACCGTCTTCATCGCTCACCTCACCTATTTGTTTCACCTTTCATTTGGCCAACGTGCAGCTTACAAGCGCCGCTCCCCTCGCACTGAACGTCACACCAAAGTTCACCCTGCAGGTATACAGTGCCTTTCCATCTCTTACAAAAACATTTGTAGCGCAGCGTACAACTCTAGGGTACACTTTTGATATGCATAAACCAAATCGTAAAAGCGTCTGTGTATCATCAGGGTATATTATGATATACGGAACCCACAGTGTATAAGCGTATGTATATCTCAACAGCCGTTCTGACAGGAGACTGCGCGAGACGCTGACGTCATGTAGCCGCCTGTTCCGTCCTAAATCCTGTTGTCCGCTACAAAAGAATGTTCCCAGTCGGTAGCCTAAACTCCAATGATGCAACGCTTGAGTGAGAATGAATAGTAAAAGAACGTGTCATGAAGTTTCGTAATCATATCGTAAATGTCGAACGGGTAATAGGATGTTAGCTGCTTTCCTCCATCTTTTCCTCCGGTACGGGTTCATTCAATCGTGCTTGTCGTGACTTTCTTCGTAAGAATGCTTGCAGAGAGAACATCACCAGCAGTATCAGCGCGTTCACGGTCATTACGATCTGCAACCACTTGACGGTAACCTGTGATGATGTTAGTGAGTTGTGTCGCAACGTACTTGTTTGTAACTGACCGCCTCGGCACATGCTACGCTGGCATTTTCACGGTCTCCCCTTGGGATGAAGCCCGGTTGGTAATTGCAGGTTGCCATCTCGCGCGTACAGTACACGTTGGTGTTCATTTGACCACTCATCATGAGCCTTTCGGAAGTGCAGCCCCACTTGTCGTCGCCTCGCTCGGTGTAGTGAAGCACGACAGCTGCGATAGCCGTGGCAGAACCAGCAATAGTGGTAACAACAATACTGAGCATCCAGAAGCGACGTGTGCTCTACTGGACATTAATGTGAGTTCTTCGGGTTGAGATCGTTTACATACGCTGTTGTATTGCGAGTCCATGTCCGGCTTGCGCAGAGTACTCCAAGCAATAAGAGCCACCACGGCTGCCGTCAGGTTCAAGCATCCGGATACAATAGTGGCATCTGTCGGCGCCTCTCTGAAATAGACAATCGTGTCATCGACGACATATTGTTGCAGCCGGTCATTGAACTCGCTCGTTACTACTTTGAGACCTCGCGGAATAACCCAGTCTGTAAGAATCCAGTAATGCGTTGTCAACGCCACCGAGACTACCGAGAGAAGGAGAAAAACGATCGACGGAACGAGGGCGAATTTGAGGATATTGTCATATCGTAGCATGTTGTCGTTTGGGAGTCGGTCCTACACCGGGGAAGGACGCTGAAAGTGATCGCCGGATTCCAGAAAGCGGAATGGCAGCCCGTAAAGACATGGGCATGGCCCTACCTAAAATAAGGCGCGACGCTCGTCCGTTCCCTGCTGCGCCGTTCCAACTACCAGCGCGGATGTCTAAAAGCTTGTCCGGGGCTCGGCGCTCATCATGACCCGCCTTTGGCACCGCCATGTCAGACAGTATTAGGCTGCGCTATGCGTGATCGACGTGACAATAGCAATACTTAGGACGACTGGATATCATGAGAGCCTTACTGTCGCACGATTGTCTTTCAGAGGCCGTGAAGAGTGCCTGATGTATCTGCCGTGTCTGTATAGCGTCCCAGCCACTCGCGCCACGGGACTCACCGCATAATCGGCAGTGACTCCGAGACCTCTGACAACTGAAAAGACGCGCTCCATGTCCGCGCCGCTGGTCGCTTGGCTGGGCGTAAAGAAAATTCGACTATGATTGGCAATGTTCCCATGGACGCAGCTCTAGTTAGAGTTGAACAACGTCATCATAGCCCCGTGAGGGAGCGAGCCGAGTTCCGTGGATGGTATTGCCAAGACTCACGTACTTGCTGATTTGCCGGCCTATCCGACACCATGGCCCATTGCGCACATACATCACCACTTTTGGCTCAACGTTAAATGCAGGTACGCAGCGGGGAAACTGGGGTTGGGGTTGGCACGACCAGCCTCGAGATATTTGCATCGTTGATGACGCAGTGAGTGCACGTCCTTCATGGTCTAGGCGGCGCTACATCCGCGAGCCAACTCCATCTTTTGCACTTGCATTGTGATATTACTTCCATTAAATGCGTGTGACAGGTGTCTCACATTACAGTGAACATGACATTGATCACATATATTGAGTACCTCTTACATCCCGAGGTCGGTATCGTCGACCCACGGCCCTTGGAATCCACTTGCCCCGAACAATCAATCTCGCCGGACTTGACACAAAACACAGCCACCCCTTACCACTCGAGCTTTCCTCCGCTAGCAAGATTATGACCAAGCGACCACAAACTTTGGGTCTAGGCTCTTTGACGAACCGCTTACTTCCCCCCTCGAATATACTCTTTCATCTCAACCCTCTTTCACGAGCCGGATTTCGAAGACGTGCGTTCTTCAGAACAATATCAATTCGCACTTGATTCGACCTCCTGAATAGTGACACACGGCATCTCCCTCGAAAAGTGACAACGTATTCCCCGGAGTAAGATCTGCGAACTCTTTTCATATTGTGGGTCAACAAGCACACTCACATGCCGTAGCGATTGGAGCAACTCCCAATCAGATTTGTCTATGTGCTCTATGAGACTGAGCATACAACCTGGCATGGCCAACAGCGAGGTCATGAGCTTGAGGTTGTGAGCTCCCACAATCTTCACAAGCCTATCCCAGAACCAACAAGAGGTGATATCGAAGGTGCAGGTACTAATGAATACAGAGAAGGCTTCATACTTGATCTGACGCGAAACGTAGAGTAGAGCTGCGGATTTAGGTGGGGGTCGACGAGGAGTGCCACTGGGTTCGTATAGCGAGACGTGGACGGTGGAATCGGTGAATGTGTACTCGTAGATCTTAACTCGAAGCTCGACTGGAAGTTTCAAGAGCGGGGACATCAACTGGTTGCGTCTAGCACTTGTGCGTTGTTAGCAATGAGCACTTCGGTGAGTATGACTGGAACATTTCTTACATGATGTTGCAATCCTCACCGTTGCGCAGAAGAGGGGTAGATGGGGTATGTTGGTCTGGAAACGACATGATGTCGGGTCGGTGTCGCTAGGTTCGTGGTACGAAGTCTAATTCCCAAGTAGAGTTGTTGTGTGGTAGAGGGAGCAAACAGTTCTAGTAAAACATTCACATCAGAACATTGAGAGACACAGCTGACGCGTCTCACAATGACATTTCACGCCAGTTGCGAAGATGAATTCGGCCTTCACTTTGACCTTCAACTGCGCGTGGAACAAACGCTTAACAGCGCAACGTCGCAGGAAGGTTTCCAGTCACACAACAAGTACCAACGCGAAAGTCACAAAGAAGACAAAGACATTCCAACAGTGGAGAGAAAACAAATCTCCAATTCAAAGGGATATATACGAAGTAATAGAAGATATTTACAAGAACAGATGAATCCACACTCCCCTAAGCAACAGCTGACTCTATCAGACTCGCTTAGATCTTTCCGTAACCAGCAGATTGCTGGACGTTCTTAGCGCTGGCAGCAGTGCCGGCAGCGGCAATGTTCTTGCCCTTCATGCCAGCAAGGATGCTGGTGTCAGAGCCAGCAAGAGTACCAGAGCTGCCGTAAACGTTGGGCTCGCAGTTGCGACCCATAGCAGACTTGCAGGCAGCGCCGTTGTTACCGACAGCGAAGACCTTGCCGGGAAGACCAGACTGAGCAGGCTCCTTGACGTTCTGGAAGACGTTGCCCTCGGCGATGATCTTGGCGCCAGAGTCGGCCTCGAAAGCGTGCTGGGAGTTGGCGTAGAAGTAGTTGTTGACGGCGTGGAGGAGGGTGTTACCAGCAACCTTGGGCGAGCGGCCGGAGGTGTGGTGGATGTAGTTGCCCTTGAGGGTGACCATGTCGTTGGCACCGGTGAAGTACATGCCCCAGTAGTGGTGGCTGTCGCAGGTAGCAGACCAGGCGGTGGCACCGTTGATCTCGTTGTTGGTGATGGAGACCTTGCCGGAAGCAGTGTTACCGAGGACAATGTGCTGACGGGCGATCAAGTCAGTGGTGACGTGGTCAATCCAGATCATGTCGGCGCCGTCGACGGTGATGGCATCACCACCCCAGACGTATTGAGGGTTGATCTCAGTAATGCGGATGTTCTGGATGATGATGTTCTTGACGCCGCCAGTCATGCGGAGACCCTTGCCCTTCATAACACCCTTGGTGCCTTGGCCAATGATAGACTTGTTGCTCTTGACGGTGATTCCTAGTACACCGGCCTTGTCGTAGGTGATGCTGCCAACCTTGGGAGCGCTGGCCTGGTAGTTGTCGCACCATCCGTTCTGGTTGATGGCGATCTGGCAGCCCGAGCCGGTACCCCATGGGCGGCAACCGGAGGAGGTAGCCTTGCCCTCGGTACCAGTGAAGTCGAAGGTCTTGGTGAGGACGATGGTGCGAGGGGAGTCGTCGCCGAGGTAGCTGATGAGCTGAGCGGTGCTGGTCGGGTAGACAGGTGCGGCGTTGCCACCACCAGTTACACCTGGAATATGTTAGCATAGAGCGGTGACGAACATGGCACCAAATGCTTACCCTTTGCGAAACCCTCAGCAGCGCCCTTGACGGCATCAGCAGCGTTGACGCTGGAAGCGAAAGCCGCGACAACGGCGGCGAAGAGTTGGTACTTCATAGTGGAAAATTATCGAGTCGAAGATAAAGAATGGATAGCAAACACAGTTTGCTGAAAAGAATGACAGGTGGTGAATGAGAGAATGAGAGAATGATGCTAAGAACTGGATGATGCCAATATCCGGTGGCTGACCCGTTCCTTTATATCTCGTAGGATTCTTGGCTGGTGTTTGAAGCACGCCCCACTCACTCTACCTACGGGGGTATGTTCCTTTCGAGCATGCACCTGGACCCTTTGACGCCGTTCATCACCGACGGCAGTGGGTATCGGACAATTCGAATCGCTACTAGAAGCCAGGACGCGCATACCAGTGCCTGGAGCGGGCGGAAAGATACTTCCACCACCAAAGAGTCATGAACATGTCGACAGTGCGTAGTTTGGTGCTCATGCATCCATGGATAGGTTGCTTGACGGGCGTTTACAAACAAAATGGCGTTGCGGAAGTAGCTTCGCAACGAGTCTAGTCCCGGCAGTCCCGCTGTTGTCGTTTCATGAACATAACAGGGCAGCCACTAGCTCCACAAAACCGTGCCCAGGCCAGACTCGACGGAAACATATTGATTAAGCTTATCCGACATAAGATGACAGGACTGCCCCTTGCGGGAGGGTAGAAGACCTGGTCTGTGGCTCATGAGGCTGAGCTTTGCGAAATCCCAGGGTTCTGTAGGAGTGATTGTTCCGATAGGTGGAATCTGCAAGCAGCAACCAGGTTTGTCCGAGAGCGCAAGGCTGACGAGAGATGAAATATGATGAACAAGAGGAGAAGACAAGACTAATCAAGCATTGCCTGAATCGTTCTTCATCATTGCGAATGTCGTTGGTTGCAGTAGTGACGCGATCAGTTAGCGCTGTCAGCTGTCACGGTTAGCAAGCGCGCCATCCACCAAAGATTCCCGGGTTGGTGGACGCGCAAACTTTCCATCTTTAAGTTTACTTCCCGGCTATAGAACGGGTGGTGGGAGACAACATCGCACGGACGGGTTGTGATGGTGATGGTGTTGAAGCATCGAAGATGGCGGACTGGTAAGGCTTGGTCCGATGCGACACTAGCGCGTTTTACTTGCGGTTAGACGCCCACCACGTGGTTCTGCATGACGCCTTTCCCTACTCTCCAGTAGTTAGCCACGACAACGAAATGAAGCGACTCGCAGCCTGAACCTCTCCTCTGCGAGACTGCATAACCCAATTACGCAGCTCAACGTCGACTAATCACTAGATCGTGGTGCTTCCACGCGTTTCCCAGTAGCATGTGGGACCAACCACACAAGAGCAGCCGAAGCCGTCAGAAGCAGAGCAGCTCCTACCGCGCAGCACCGAGATATAGTAGCCAAGTCCCGCATAGTTACCGGGATACCCAGCATTCAGAAAACTACGTCTCGTCACCCACGGATTCGAGCTCGGACTACGACACCCCACGCCGTGGATACTACGAAGATTTACCCCCCAATCATAGGCGATATGTGAATCGAGCTATGGCATCCGAATACGCTACGCAGACAAGAGAACCAAGGGACGTGTACGGTTTCTCACAGCCTCGCCCAAGGCATCAACCACGACCATCTGGGCGGCCACAGTATCGGGCTCAGTCTTCAGATCCAGACTGCATCGCACAAGATTCTCAGTCTGACGAAGATTACATAGCTACACCTGAAGTAAAGAAGGATGCTTGGAAAAATCGTGGGTCTCGCTACGATGACCGTTCCACGGACGATTCCCTGGGCAATGGTTCACCGATCCGCCACCCTCCTCCAGAGAACTACAGTGATAGTCCCCCCTCAGACTACGCTCCTCGTCCCAAACCCAAGTCCGAAGATCGGAGGGTAAAAGCAGGCTGGGGCAATAGTGATTCCTTCAGCCAACCGCCCCGCCTAAACCCTAGGGAACACGAGAACTACCGCGAAGCAAAGCAATTTCTCGACCGTTTCCAACAGCTCCACACTCATACAACGGATCGGTCCGACACCGAATCCTACAGCGATGGCAGCCCAGCGAATCGCAACCCAGTGAATCGCCAAGCTAGATTTTCCGGGCGATACCCAGACCCTGAGCGAGATGATGAAGATGACTACGCGCCAAGTCCACACAATTACCGAGAGAGGCACCATAGCGAACGTACTCGTTGGAGAGATTCAGAAGAATCTTACCACCGGTTCGAGGTGGAAAACCGCCGCAGTCATCGTGAGCCTCGTGCAAGGAATCTAGATCCCCGATCTGTCCGGCCCAGTCTACACCGCCCGGACAGCTCCTTCCATCAAGCCAGCAGCTTTTCTGCTCCGCCTCCTCCTCCTCCAAGACATGTAGACCACTCCCGCCACCGACGCGGTTCAACATACTCAGACGATGACGACCATGCCACTTACTCCGACCACAGACCTGGCGTCTACACAGCCGCATTGTCAGACATAGCATCTCGACCCAGCTCCTCCCACTCCGACCGCCTCTCCCGCGTACCCACAGCCGTAGACTCAGAAGACTACCATTCGCCACCCCCTGCAGTACCTTCACCACCACCTCTATTCCAACGGCACCGGGACAGCGGCAGTGACTACGCCCCCATGCCCGGCGCCTTCCGTAGCGTGAGCAGAAGTCGAAGTAGAAGTCCCTATGAGCCAGTAAGGGGCGGAAGAAGAAGGAGTCCTTACATGTCATCTCCTGTTCGTAGTACACCTGTTAGGAAAGGGAGGGGGATTGGGAGGTATAGAAGTGACAGTGATGATAATGGTGTAGCAGAGGGGAGTGACTATCTTCCTAGTGATAGCGAGGATGATGAGCGGATTAGTGGCGGTGGGAATGGCGTGGCGGAGGGGAGTGACTATGCTTCTAGCGATGATGGGCGGAGTGATGTTTGTGAGAAGGATACTTGGGGTGCTAGGGTTGCTGGTGTTGAGAGGGCAGGCACTGGTGGGAGGGCATATGGGAAGATGTGGTAATGATGATGGGAACGTTGTGCATGAGGATGATGGGATGAAGCTTGACGAAACGATGTAAATGTGAAACGACTTGGTAAATGACGGCTCTTTCTTATTCTATTCCTAGGTGTGGTACGACAACACCACTACCATTGCAGTAACATCTCGTTCATCAAATACGGATTCACGTCGTATACACAATCGTACAATTGCTTTGCTCCGCCTAATGCATGCTGGTAACCAGACAATCCAAGGTACCTCACTCTGTCATATGATACAATGCCTCATTCCTCCTCTCGTTCATGTGTTTCTAAGCACTGACTGTCGTCGCCTCCGTAGCATCCGGTACACCCGCTTCAGCCAAGACTTGCTCTGGCTTGAGTTCAGCCGTCGACATGGGTCCCTTCGGCCATGGCTTCCCCCTCGCATCCTGGACGCGAATGATCTGGTTCTTTGGTCCGGGGACGCAACCTACAAACATATCGTTAGCACCAACTCATATTTGATCGTGATATGCTTCTCGTACCTTGAACAACCACAATACCATTCGGCTCGTCAACCTGCAACACCCTCAAGTTCTTGACCGTCACACTCTCGTTTCCCATATTACCCGCCATACGCTTTCCAGGCAAGACACGCGAACCCGAACCCTGTGAACCTCCCGCAGAACCCATACCACGATGCATGAGTGATTGACCGTGAGAAGCTGGTTGACCGCCGAAGCCGTGTCGTTTCATGCCCTACACACAGTAACCGTTAGCATTCCATCCCAACTAGCATCACCCGTCCTCATGAACAGATAAAGATCCAGAACTTACGCCAGCGAATCCCATGCCCCTACTTATCGCCTTGACATCCACCCATTGTCCCTTTGTAAACCACCCCGCACCCACCATCTCCCCGACACTAACGCCCAGTCCCTCCTCATCCCTAACCTTGAACTCAACAACCCACCTCTTTGGACTCACGCCCGCACCAGCGAAATGCCCCAACATAGGCCTCGTCACATTCCGCGCTTCTTTCTGCCCAGCCCCGATCTGGACAGCCCAGTACCCGTTTACATCTCTCCGCTTATGCGCCACGACTTCGTTACGGTCGAGTTGCAAAACTGTGCATGCTGTGCGCTTCCCTGTTTCAGGCTCGTAGATGGATGTCATGCCCTTTTTCAAAGCGAGCAGACCGGTTCGCAGGGGCGTGCTGTGGGCTTTCCGCTCGAGCGCTGCCGTTGATGTGCTGGTGAGGGCTTCTCGCGCGGGGTGATGTGCGAAACGGTCGGGTTTGGGACCGAAGGTAGATTTTATGGTTCGGATCGATGTGTATGCGATGGTGGGTCTTGAGGAGAGTTGTTGCGCATTTTGCTGGAGGAGGCAGCGCGCTGATGAGGGGAGGAGGAAGGAAGGCGGTAGTAAGCCCCAATTGAGGGGCGCTTTGGGCGGCATTGTGGGCGTGGTGTTGTTGCGTTGGAGATGCGGCGCTGGCTTGTTCGCCGCGGATATTTGAGATTCCCGGTCTGAAGCTCAGATTCAGTGCACGGGCCATGCTGCGCACGTGTAGTTCTGTTCACGGTCAGAATCTGAGCTAGGCTCAATGCGCTCTAGCAGGTCATGGCGGGGTAATCGCAGTCATGGAACATGTATGTCTACCCGCGAACAGGGAAATGCATCTGTTCAACGAAACGCAGTTATTGATTGAAGCGACCACGTGTAGGAGATGTTATGTTTTTTTTAGCTTTTAGAGCCATGTCCAGCAGGCGCAAGGTACCAAGACACAATGAGACTATACAAGTCAGATACCACCCGTGCTCAACGTACCACTATATACTGGTTCCTCTCTCCCTTCCATAAATAGCAAGAAATTTTAGCAATGGGTATCCTCCAGTTGTAGAAACGCCGAAACTCCTGCACCACACAGTGGCGCTTAATATGACATACATGACCCATATCAAATAGGTTAACTCAATCCCCACATCTCCTCAGCGCAACAAAACGTCCTGAAAGACAGTAGAGGCGCAAGATGTTGTCACACTGAACAGCTTAGAGTATATTGGTGGCGGGGTTCCCTTGCATGATGGAATTGGCGAGGACAGACTACGCGAGGTCAGTACAAACATGCGTAAGCTGATATGGGGGTGATGAACTTACGCTTAAAACCACAGAACCTGGACGCACTATGGTGTTAGGGCCAATCTGGACGCCAGCCGCGATTATGCAGTTATCACCAATGTACACGTTCTCCCCGATAAGGACCTCTTGCGCAACCTCTGTGCCGTTGCTGCCCTTCAGAGATTTGGTGTCGGTAGGTGTCTTCAGAGTCTGTATAGTAACTCGGGCCCCAATCTTGCAGTTCCTTCCAATGGCAATCCTCGCGGAGTCATGAAAACGACAATCAGCGCCGATGACAATGTTTTCGCCGAAACTCAGGTGGTAGCCGTAGTCGCAAGCAAAGGGCGCAGCAACATGACAGTTGTCACCCATATGAGTTTCGATTCGTCTGGCTTCATCACCTCTCTTGCCCGCGTTCAGGATTTGTTTGAAAAGGTGGTCGACCGTTTGGCTAGATAGAACATTGGAGGGGTTGATATTTCCGTTGAAATAAGATTGTGCTAGCGCGCTCAAATGACGCTCTTTCATCAGGACCTTGTCAAAGGGGTTGAATGGCTCTCCAGCAAGCATCTTGTCTTTTTCGGACCTGTACATGGTCGATGTAGACGACGAGGAGTAGCGTGTCGGTGACCGCGTAGGTGGCAAAGATGTTGGCGGCGGGGGAGGCGGTGGATGCTGTGGTGCCACATGCAGCTGTTGGATAGGCTTGGCGGCCCTAGAAACGTGTTAGCTGATGAAATGCGAGTGCATCCCAGTTTGAGTTCAAAGACAAGTGATAGACACGATCCGGTGTCCAGGAGCTGTTGACAACTCAATTGAGTTTGAACCGAAAGCAGAAACTCACATAGTGGTAGGAACAGCAGTGTTGATAGCGAGATGAGTCGTGCTTGGCGGAGCATGATGATAACCACGAGAACTGTGGTGAGACTGCTGTTGCTGTTGAGGCACAGGTCTACGGTCCAAGCTCGAAAGCCTTTCATAGTGGTTGACCGCAGGTTGCATGTACTGTACTGATGGTGGTGGTGGCGGCGGCTCTGGCTGGTAGGCAGCTCGAACTGGTGGCGGTGCAGGCGCAGAGTCACTCCAAGGTTTCCATGACTTGCGATCGATACCGTTGGTTGAATGCATCTCAGAGGGTGTGTATGACACTTCAGAGCTATGAGGTGGTCTGCAGTGAGGTGTGTGCATTTCTTGACAAGTTGGGCACGTAGGGTAGGCAGCGAACTTCTCCTTGGCTATCAGTGCAGGTGGTTTGGCTGGTCCATTCTTCGGCCAAGGTACCTTGTTGGCATAGCCTTCACAGACAAAGCCACCGCGTGTGCAGTTGTTGCCTGCTAGAGGTCAGACTTGGTCAGAACAGGAAGCCATTTTCAAACGTACATTCTGGTTTGGCCTCGTCGCACTTCTTCTTCCTCCTACGGCATGTTCCACAGCCAGTCTTGGTGCGGTTGGCAAATTGCTGTGGAGGTTAGTATTGGTCAGGGGTTAGGCTCAGGGTACATACCCGTTTCCGCTTCTTGAGCTCGACCTGTACACCAGCCCGCGTGAACTCAGTCTCTTCGATCATGTCACGGCTAAGAGACTGCGACTCAGGAGACATGTCATTGGTGCGGCTGTGCTCGGTGGGACGCGATTCATGGTGTTGGAAATGCTGATGGGCTGCATGAGGCAGTTCACGGGGTTCCGTTTGCCAGCGTCGTTCGGCGTCTGGACGACCTAGTGGAGGCAGAGTCGGTAGCGGAGGGGCTTCCATGCTCATGGTCGTATTGCGGTTCAAGGGCTGGTATGGAAGTGGAAGTTGCCTGGGGCCAGCGGTCCTCTGATCAGGGCTGTGTTGGCCGTAGGCGTCTTCTTCGGAGCCGGAGCGTCTTCTCTTATTTGGGTGTTCAGGAGAGGACCTTGTCTTGTCTGAACTATCAGGAGATCGATCTCCACTGCCAACAGTGGACGAACTCGTGTCGCTCTCTGGGGAGCGAGAGTGATGTTTGGGCTCAGGATCTGGGGAGGCGGGACTCCAGGCAGAAGGTTTGGCGGCAACGGTTGGCTTCTTCTCGTCGGGCGGACTCAGAGACAATCGACCATTGACGGAAGTAAACGCAGGGCCATGGGGAGCGGAATTAAAGGCGGGCATATGCAGTATGGTCGACATGTCCAAGGCGGGATATCAGAGCTGGGGATCAAGGCTGGATAGTCTACGGAGTCAAGTCGAATCTACGGCGGGCTATGGGGAGGGTGTCCAGCGACCATAATCTTTGTGTCTCGTTGGGGTCGTGAGATTCTTTGCAGTGACGATCTTGAGTGATGCCGGGGACAGTGTCGTGGTTCCACTGTAGCGTACTCGGAGTAAGATGAGTTCAACGGTCAGGTCAGGCACCGTGCGGGACTCGACGACTGGTGGCCCGGGAGTCGTCTGTGCTCTTCAGAGTCAGTGTGTGCTTCGAGGGAGGATCCCGGGGTTGGCAGCGCGGGCGTGGTGTCGTTCGGGCGATGCGATGCCAGCGAAGCCGCCTCTCCACGGCGGGGGCTGTATATGGCGGGAAGACAGTATATGGCGCGACGAATGTGGGAGGGGCGACCCGACGCCAGACGCTGGCCACGGATGAGCAACAGGATTCAACGGAGGGCGGCTGTTCGCTCCTTCTGCTGGCGCACACATGGGCTCTACACATCCCGGGCGGCCACCCATGTCGTCCCTTCCTCATTGGCCCGAGCTGCAGGCGGCCCCTGCCCCCCGCGTTTATCTGTCCCACCCGGGCTGGCACAGAACCATCACCGAACACCTCGTAGAAGGACCACAGACGCGGTTCCTTCGACTATCTACATAATAGACCCTGCATTTTGGCCGCTGCCACGTTTTTTTGGCGGAAAAGTCGCGTCTACAGCCCTACAGCCGTTTTCTGGGTGTGAAGGAGGGTAGAGTGGGCGGAGAGGCCTCCAGGATGGCACAGACGGCTGCGTGCGACCAGCGCTCCCGGCATGCTGGCATGCGAGGTTGATCAACCAGGAATCGTTAGAAGGATGCAAGCCAACGCGGAAACCTCACATTAAAGTGCTGTGTCGTTGTTATTGGCGCTGCCCAAACCTTAGCTTATCCACCTGCTCCATCGCCAAACGCAGTAGCCGCGCTGCACGCCCGCGCACCACCAAACTCTTCACCAGACCGCGGCACCGCAGCCTGCCCGACACATAGCGAGCACACAAAACAATGGCAGCCCCCGCCTGACGTCGCCCGCGACGCCTGCGATGACGGCTGCGAATCACTCCAGTGCTCCATCCTCACCACCACGCGCTGCGTATCGCCCGGCCTCCCGAGCGCTTCCATCAAGGGGTGCCGTCATGGCCCATCGGCACTGCCTCCTCCTAACCGCCTGCTCAGAGGCCTGCTGGGTGCCTGCCTCCGCCGATTTCAAGGCCAGCACCAAACAAGAAGGCGCTCATGGGTCTCGCCGTGTTTCATTTATCAGATCCACGCCGCACACCTTCCCACCACGCCCACCCGTCCTATGCCCTTAGCATCATCAATATGCTCGGCTGCGGCACTGCCATAGGCCTAATGCTTGTGCTGCGCTCCATGTCCAAGTCGCGAGTGCCACTGTCTGCTGCGTGATACCCTCCATGGTTGGCTGCCCGGCCCGTCTCGTACACCTTCATCTATGGGCGCTTCGCGTGCAAACTTTGCTCGCCAGGAACCCGCCCGCTCAATATGGTCAAACCTCCACCACTACATACGTCAAGAGCCGCGATGTCTGTCCTCGGCTAATTGGCAGGTGCGCAACTTACCCGTTGTATGCTGTACGGAGCACTGTCTGACTCTCACGCGTTGCTCGACGATCGGTCATGCGTCTGAGCAACCCCGGTGCGTCAGCCAATAGCACCTCGACAGTTTCGCCACGCATTGCACACGAAATAACGCCTCGTTAAGCGCGGCCGTTTGTCGGCTGCGACTTGTCGTTGTAACTCACTGCAAATGTGGTTCGTGTTATGCGTGCGCAGCCTGTTCACAATTCCATCAGTCCGTCTCGCTGGTTCTCGCGGCGCGTTCCGTTCCCGCTAGCGATCAGACAAAGACCTGGACCTGCGCCGCAGGCCGTACGGCATTGTCCTCACAGCTGTGCCGCCCGCTGGATTCCAAGAACGGCTCAGCCCTTGCCATGGTGCTCACGGAGCTGACGTCTGCTCTCTCTCAGCCTCGCCTCATCCTTCCGCTATATGACTCGAGTAGCGACGGGAAGCGCGGAACAGCGCGCTTGTCACCAACGTCTACATACGCCGCCCACCTCCGTGCCAAATCTCGATTCTCCATTCATATTGATTGTGGAGCGCCACCTTCCGTGACCAACCTGACTGCGATGATGTCGCACCTGATTATGCATTTATCTGGACCTGTTATGCAAACTCAGATGATCACGCTTGCTGTTGACGTCGTCGCTGGGTCCCAAAACAAATACCCACGGTCGCACTAACCCATCGCGAGCATTAACAGCATGCAACTGCTCAAGACTGCTCACCGCGGTACTCGCGCTCTTTTCGCCGAAGAGATTCGGCATTTCTCCAGACACGGCCTCACCGACAGGATCCGAAGGATTCCTCTTCGGTAAAGTGTTGCGGCATGAGTCGAATGTGGTCCAGATTTTTATGCAGTGTGCTATACTCGAGCTTGACAGCTTCACGACACCAGCAACCTTTCTGCACTAAGATCTTCAGATCATAACATGATACTCCATTGACATGTTGGACATGTAGTTCAGCAACGGTGCTTCGCGCAATCTACCCATTTGGCCATTGCTGCTCGGGATGCGAGCATGCCGGGCTGCGGCACAGTTCGCCAGCAATTCCGATTACGTATGCGGCGTTGGCAGGATGCATAGACCAGACGAATTACCAACGCACCTCCCCGGCGTGAGTCGTTGGGATCGATCAAGAATTTTGATGTACTGGCGAGGGAACTACTGGTGAACTCATCGTTTCCCGACAATGTGGTACCGACTGTTCGCTTCAACCGATTCCGCAACTTTCGCATCAGACAACGACTACTGAAAACTGCGTTTCTAGCGAACGGATTCGGAGCAAGCTGGTGTAACGTACTGGAAGCTGATTGTAGGATCGCGCGCTAGTACACGACGATTACTCCGAAGTCCGCCCTTTTGCAGCCAAACGAACCCTTCCAATGTTTACGCCCGGCAGGTGAATTGCACGCCAGGCTCCCGGATAAGCAAAGCCTATCGACATATGTAAGGGGTTATTTACGCCCTGTCCGTGCCGCATTCACCAAGCTGTCGGGACATGCGGTGATGCACTTTGGAGACGAGCATGCTTTAGCATTCACCTTGCCTACTCGATTCGGACAATGCTATTCTGACACCAAGAAGGAAGATTATTGAAACATCAATAACACGACCAGCCCCGACTACGGTAAAACGTCATAGTCTCTATGCGCTGCTTGACGTGGGCGAGTCAGCGCTTACCGAAGCGCTTAAGGTTTCACAAGATGCGTAGACAACTGCCGGCCGCTTTGAACCGACATCCTCACTCTGGCGACACGCGGTGTGACGGATCCGCATAATGTGAGATCTCACCCGCGTATCGATCGTCCAATCACATATGGAGGACGTCCGATTCTACCATTCTACGTTCCGGGTATTGATTGTTGGTGTCGCCGTCATACCGAGCATCCGAAATGTCACTTTAGATTGGAATTCTTGGGATCGGGATTCTGTCCTCAGCGAAGGGTTCAAAGCTGCGTGTTCACTGTTTAGCATATGCTGACTTCAAGGGATATCCTAACATACGAGAGTCGGTCCGAAATCTGATTACAGAGGGGATAGACGTACGATACAGACGCGATGCAGCTTCCCAACATCTGTTGGTACCCAAATATGACACGCCATTACTCGTCACACCGCCAAAGACAGTACATTGTCACCGGACACTTGGGGAGTGTGGAGACGATCATCAGATAGGCAATTAGTATATGCCGTGTTGCAGCTAACTGTGTAAATCCTGGACAACACTAACGGTGTGCCTTAATATAGAACGCAACGGTAATCGGAAGCCAAGTAGCCCGTTCTCCAATGTCAAGGGCCGACTCATTGTCGGGAACACCATACTATTAGTCAGATGGTTCGAAAAATTCTCCTAAAAAGGTAATGCGCAAGTTTACCATCGACGCCCGTCTGATCAAGCTATTCACATCGCAGTAACGACGTACTTTGAAGCGCCAACTGCTTGAGTCTTACATCCGAGACTCTATCATCCCCAATACTCATATGCTAGGTGTACACCATTTTGTCGCCCTATGGCACTTCGTCGCCGTCTATACTTGATTACCAAACAAGATTACTGCCATCAAACTAAAATCTTCGTCTTTCGGACATGGCTATGCTCTACTCCGAACAGTAGTCTTGGACAATTCCCAGCGGTAAGGCTCATACGCTCGCTACCTCCACAATGACCGTCGCTTTGATTTCATGACGGACAAGTTGGTCAAACGCTTCATACTGTTCCACCACCGGATCAAGTTATGATCGTACTCTCTTCTCCCATAGGTTCCCCTCCATTACTATCCCATCTGCTGCTCACCTAGCTTAAATTTCAATGCAGACGAACATCGGCAGCATATTGTTTTATCTTACTCCTGTAGCTCTCATCATGCATGTCAAATCAGCCAAGCAACAAGTCTTAACTCAGACAAGATACGGTAGCATCTCCACGTACTTCTGTACGTCTCACCACAAACTCGAACTCACAAACACACAAATCAACCCTCCATTCAAAAACTCTTCGTCAATATGCCATTCGATGCTATTTACTCCACTTTCTCTCCCTCCCTCTTCCTTCCGTCTGTATGCCTCGCCAACCCACATAATATACAAACCGTCTTACAAAAAAGTTTCCCACAAAGATCCAAATTTGGGGGGTATCAGAAAAATGCGCGCTCTTGTTTGCTTGCTTCGGGGGTTAAAAGAACAAAACGAGAAGTGAAAGCCCTCCAATCCTGCCATTCCCTACTCTGTCTCTCTCGATCCTTGCACACTCATCATATGTGTGTGCTTAGTTGTGGGTGTACATGCTCTTTGGCATGGTTGACCTCATTCCTTGATGTTGCAGCTTTGGTGTCTGCTGCTCTTCACTCCACATTCCTGTTCTCCCCCTTCTTCGCTCCAATGTACCCAGATTGGGTTGGTTTGCTGGTCCACCATCTAAATGCAAACTCTAGTCCGTCTTCCAGTGGCTTGTTAACCGGCCGTCGTCATCTGCGTTCGAGATCTTCAATTCGATGGCGTAGAGACCCATTGTGATACCCAGATTAATCCATCTCCAGAAGTTGCCGCCGGCATCACCACCTTGGTTCGTCCACCACTCGCCTGTGACGGCACTTCCATCGCCGCCGTTTCCGCTGGCAAAGTGCTGCATCAGCAGACTGGTGTAGACTGCAATGATGATGCTGGGGCTGAACCAGGTTAGGAAGCCTAGGATCTTGGAGGTCTCGTCGTCATCGTCTAGACTGGGTTCTTGCGATAGTGCACGAGCGCCGCTTTCTCTGATGGCAGGAATGATACGCGCCGCGGCGTACATGACGAAGACGCGGTAGGCGAGAGAGATGATTACGGAAGGCGTGATGGTCATAACGGCACCGACCATGAGGTTGAAACCGGTGTGGGCAATGGTAGGCAGAGAGCCTAGCGCATGGAGAAGTGTAGTGTACGAAGCCATGATAATCGGTGGTAGCGGTGGAAGAGCTGGATCTGAAGGAGCGCTCGACTCGGCGAGCGAGCCTGGCGATGGCTGGTAGTCGGTGAAGATCTGGTAGATGCAGAGAGTAACATAGGCGAACTGCAAGCATTAGCAAAGAAACGTAGTTGCTGAAGGCCAGACTCACCAAAAGCGAAGATTCGACCGGGTTGCCCCTAGCACTGACGATACCCCATCCGCCGAGGAAAATTGCGGTTGTGATAGCGACACCAATCAGGATGGCGTCGACGTTGCTGATCTCGGGAAAGGTGGTGATGCGCCAGAGGAAGTAGACGGAGGTCGAGATGATGGACGCGGAGGTGATAAGAAGGCCGATCTGGGGATGTCAGTATATTGTTCCAAGCACAGAGAGAAAAGTCGTACCATCCAGCTGTCACCACGTTCCTTGTTTACAACCCATTTGGTAATCTGGCCTGCGGCTTGAATGACCAGAAGACTGCAGAAGCCCTCGGCGATCTGGAAGACGGGTGTGCTGTATCGCAGAGTCTTGTCCCAGGCCCCTATCGATGCACTTTGCAGCAGTCCCTCACTCCCAAAGATCCATTCCTGAACGCTCTCGAAGTCGGCTCGCTTGCCGCCAAAGGTGCGTTCGACCCAGCCCGAATTGGCGTCGGCATCGATGGAGAACTTGTTGAGGCTCCAGATCAAGAGGGTGGGTATGGCCAGCCACTGCGCCCAAGCTATTACATTACACAGAAACCATCTGAAGCGCGAAGAGTCTGGCGTGGCCAGGCGCAGTATCGAGTAGACGAAGTAGTAGGCGCTGAGGGAGAGGGAGAAGGCGAGGCCACAGGTGCGGCCGCCAATGTCGAAGGCGAGGGGTATGGTGAAGATGATGGCGCCGAGGAAGGTTGTCGACGAGACTACCCGCGATGCTGTAGCCCACATGCGGACGCCGTCGTCGCCAAGCTCGTGCAGCGACGAGCGTGGCGTCTGAGCGGGGCGGCGGGGGAGGTGCGAGGGGTTTGAGGCGCGATGGACGCGCAGGCAGCGCGGGAGAAGCTGGTGGGAGTCACTCGAGGGGGAGTGGGCGTGCGGGAGACGTGGTTGAAGATTCGCGAGCAGCGGCCTGGCTATCGATTATCTTCACGTGTCAATCTCGCTAAGTGCAATGCTCGAGCGTCGCGGAGCGGGCTGCACTGGGCTTGGGCTGGCCGGCGGCTGGGGGTGAGGTCGCTCGGCGGAGAGCAGGCTGCAGGGCGAGGAGCGGTGCAGGAGAGGCTTTGGTATTGCTATCGATACGATATTGAAGCTGCTCTGTGCGAGTAGGCACGACTTGGGGCTACGGATGGATGCGTGCTCGCGTGCGCACTCTGGGAACAGCGCACGATGATGATGGCGACGGCACGAGTCTAGGCCTGTCCGTCCTGCGTCTGCCGTCAGACAGTGTCTTGAATCCTCCTGCCCTGCTCTTGCTGCCTCCGACTGTGACGAGCTTGCCGTGATTGCTTTTGCGTATCCCACCTACTAGCGCCCGCGGGTCTTGCCAAGCCCAGTTCCCGCCGCGGGACCGTCTTCTTATGCGAAACTTCTACTAGCAGCAATTGCATGTTCAAACTACGACCTTTGTTTGCCAGACCGTCGCGAATCGCCTGGAACACATACGAGCCACCCACGCCAAACTACTTTGCCAACTTCTCTGCAAACTACGCCCGCACCATGGCCGAAAGCCCCACCAAGAAGCTCAAGACGGACGTGCCTGTCATTGGCACGCACAATGGCCACTTCCACGCCGACGAGGCCCTTGCCGTCTCCATGCTGAAGGAGCTGCCCACCTACCGCGACGCTCAGCTCATCCGCACCCGTGACCCCGCCGTTCTCGCCGAATGCCACACCGTTGTCGACGTAGGCGGCGAGTACGAGGACGACAAGAAGCGCTATGATCACCACCAGCGCGGCTTCGAGGTCGTCTTCCCCGGCCACACCACCAAGCTCTCCTCCGCTGGTCTCGTCTACATGCACTACGGAAAAGACATCATCACCGCTGTGACTGGTCTGGAAGGCGCCGACCGTGATCTTCTGTATGAGAAGATTTACACGGACTTCATTGAGGCCTTCGACGCCAACGACAACGGCATCAACGTTCTTGCGCCCAAGGACCTAGAGAAGGCAGGATTGGAGAAGAAGTTCGAGGACCGCGGCTTCAGCATCGCCAGCGTAGTGAACCGCTACAACTATGGCAACAAGTCGCCGACCGCCGACGAGACCAAGACCCCAGAGGCCAAGCAGGCTGATGAGGACTTCCGCTTCACCAATGCATCTCGCTTCGTAGGCGAGCAGTTCCGCTGGGAACTCCTCGACCGCGCCCGGTCGTGGCTCCCCGCTCGTCACCAGGTCAAGCAGGCCTACGACGCCCGTCTTCAGTACGATCCTCAGGGACGCATCCTGGTCCTTCCCGAAGGCATGCCGTGGGCCGACCACCTCTACAACTTCGAGAAGGAGGCACAACAGCCACAAGGCGTCGCCCCTCAGGTTCTCTACGTCCTCTTCCCCGAAGACAAGCCCGAGGGCAAGTGGCGCATCCGTGCCGTCAGCAAGGAGAACGGTGGCTTCGAGAACCGCAAGGACCTGCCCGATGCGTGGAAGGGTGTGCGCGACGAGCAGCTCGACCAGGTCTCTGGTATCCCGGGCTGTGTCTTTGTGCACGCCGCTGGTTTCATCGGAGGAAACAAGACGTTCGACGGTGCGCTCGCAATGGCGAAGAAGGCATTGGAGATGTAGATGGTCATGACGGAGTGAAATGAACACTGGGTTGAGTGTCTCACACGAAGCAACGAAAGTTACTTACACTTTGCATATGCATGGTTGGCGTTCGGGCGCTTTCATACAAAAGTTATGATACCAATGATACACTTGGTTAGATGAATCATGAAAATACATGATTAGCCGTCGAAAGACGACAATAACTTGCTCTCTTCTTGCGATGAATTTGTATTTGTCTCCATCGCAGCCTTAGAACCTTCACTCGTTTGTATTGGGGTTATCACAATGCTTGCTCATTGCAGCAAACGTAGAAAATTGAAGTAATCATCCTGAATTCTATTCGTCATGGATGTGTGATACCATCGTCAACGCACTGGAGACACGCATAACCGAGGACCTCGCACCCACTACACAAGTCCTGGATCACCGTCCCAAGCCAATAACCGCCTTGCGCACACGACAGCCGGAAGACCCTGATTCTTAGCTTGTTGCGCGAGCCAAATGCGCAGCTAGATCTTCGGTGCAAGCTTCAGGTACTCCACGCCCTGCGTCAAGTCTAGAAGAAGTCCACCAACGAGACCTGGCTAATTCGGGTCGAGACGTCATACGGGGAGAGTCGGGATGACTGGGCCAGACGCCGCTGAGAATGGCACACGACTCGTACCCGCGGCTGTCAGCGTCTCGGCTGTGATTGGTTGGAAAAGTGGAAAGGCGGCTGTCCGTGGCGAAGATTTTGTAGATCCGCAGGACGTGAGGTCGGATAGAAGGCTCTCGTACACTCGTTTCACATTGCTTTCTTACCAACGAACCAGAACATCGCGACTTTCTTGCTTTTTGATTGTTTGACAACGCATCTGTCTCTTACTCCTTACACCGCACTTTAATCGGCACGACTTTGCGGAGAAACAAGAAACAAAGATACAGGGCACGAGCGGTGAAAAGCGTTGAGCACTTCCCGCTTTCCCCGACGATCGTTTATCGCCAGCGCACGGCCTGCTTTTCGGCCTCTGCCCACCCGTCTCCAAACCTTTTGCACCCTTCACATTTCACAACCCACCTCAACTCCACACTACAGCTATCACAGCTCATCAATACATACCATCGGATTCTCGGGTCCGAATCACTGCGAACACGTCACATCGAAGCGACAACGAACATTACCCGACCCACACGACAGCGCACACGACCACACGATGAAGTACTTCCAGCAGACAGTCGACTTCGACTACACATGGGAAGAGGTCTCGACGAGCAACTGGCGCAAATACGGCCCCTGGAACGAGAAGACACCGCATGTCATCGCCGTCGACACATTAAGCCGCTCCGTCGACCCAGCGACAGGAATTGTAAGTGACTCCTTCTTTCACATGTCAATTCGGCGCGCCCCACCAGCCTCACCGAGCAGAAAACTAACACACCGCAGCTCCGCACAGAACGCCTCATCACATGCCAGCAATCCACACCCAAATGGATACAAACCATTCTCGGCGGCCAGGACACGTCCATGGTCTACGAGACCTCCTACGTCGACCCCGTCGCCAAGAAGCTCACCCTCTGCTCCATGAACATGACATGGTCCGACCTCCTCAACGTGCGCGAAACCTGCATATACCATCCCGTCGCCTCATCGCCCGATAAGACCGCCTTCACCCAGCGCGCCGAGATCACCGCGCTGTGCGGTGGCTGGCAGAAGATCAAGAACAGCATCGAGCAGTTCACTGTTGAGCGCTTCCAGCAAAACGCTGCTAAGGGCAAGGAGGGCTTCGAGATGGTGCTTGAGCGCGCGCGCCAGGTGTTCCAGGAGCAAAGAGAAATCTTGGCGCTGCAGCAAGCGCAGCAGGACAGCCGGATCCTTCGCCAGGCCAAGATATAAGGATGAAGAACAATAGCCTCCAGTCTCCTTGCGTTGGCAATCCGGTTCGGAAGCTCCGCGAATTTTCCGTCCAACATCACCACACGGTCTTTCGGTCCACTCCGCTCGATCATTTCCCATCCATCTCGACTCTTCCATTTCAACACCATTCAAGCGTTCTTCATACCTGGGTGGGATCCTTCCTTTGATTTTTTCTGCAAAAAGTGCACTTCAAAGGCGTTATCAAAAGCATGGGAGAGGCGCAGATACCCTTTTCACTGCATACTAGACGCCATTATGCATTATATACACGATAGAGACGAACCCATATACAAACAAGCATTATTAGATATTTTGAGTAATCAAATGGAAGATTATCATCAGACTGTCTTCTCCGAAGTTCGAAATTGAGATTGTTATGGGTTTGGGTCGACCATTCAACCAAAAGTGAGGATGCCGACACTACTGTGGTCGAAGGGTAGGTGATGGCATCTACTTGTAATCCACTATGCACACTACCCCCAAAGTCCAGAGTTTCTCCTTTCAACACGCATATACGCCCTCCATCAGCTCCAACACCCTCATCTCCCATCCAACTCCCCCATACCACACTCTCACACCCTCCCTCGCACAGCCATGCAACATCGCCCTCTCAAGCGCCGCCGCAGCACCTCCAGCATCAACGACCACGACGATCCATGTCGGAAACGCCAAAAACTGTTAGCGTCGGTGTTCAAGCAACTTCAACAGACGGCTGAAGAAGTCAGATGCGCGCTCAACGATGCTACATGGTTATCTGTAGAGGAACGAGTGCGTGCTGCTTTGATTATTGATCATGTGGCGGGCATGTCGAGGATGATGGAAGAGGGCTATGAGTTTGGTGATGCGGATATGGAAGTGGATGATGGGGAGGGGTATGAAGACGGAGACGGAGATGCAAACGAAGACGATGCTGGGGATGCTGTTGAAGAGGTCGCGAGAGAGGACCCTGAGTCTCCTTTTGTTGAGGGCGTAAGCGGATCTCTGGAAGTGGAGAAAGATGAGAAAGAAGGGAGTGGTAGAGAGGTCGGTGGTGATGAAGATGGAGATAGTGATGGAGAGAAAGAAGACGAGGATTCTCACTCGTCGTGGATGAAGAGGGGAGTAAGCTTTTCAGCGGGTGCAAGATGTACGCCATACACCGAGAGTGGAGGTAGCTGAAGTGCTTTGCATTGCAAAGTCGCAACACATGAGGTATCTGGTGCACGAATGGTCTACGATGGGTTGATAAAGTGGGTAGGCGTAGGGCTGGGCATATGGATCACGAGATAGTTGAATCTTTGACCAGGTGACGACAAATGTTTGCGCATTGAGTTCTTTTGAATGAAGGACTCTTGATAACGTTACTTTGTTGCGAGATGGTGCTACGTGTGGAAGTAGCCATATCGCAGTAGCGATGTTGAAGGGATGTTATGAAAGGATCGAGCCACCTCTCAAGCGCCCTCGTGCAGACAGCGCCGATACCGTACCCTCCCATCCGCCTACTACCACATCAAATGCAGATCCGCCCTCGACAGCAGAGCCACGCGTTACATTATTCGAAATCTCCCAGAAAACAAAGGCCCTTGATTTAGCACCCGACAACAACAAGTATACCAGTCCCTTCAGTCAACGCCTCCTCAATAAGCTAGCGGTCGAGGATCCCACAGTCGCACCTCTACATCTTACTCAAACTGTTGGTTTTGAACGTTCAGGGTGGGTTCGTGGTATCTCACAACGCGCTTTTACGCATGTTCCGTTCCATAAAACACTTTTAATAGCTTCGCTTTCGTCGTTGGCTAGCTAACGCCTCTTTCTTTCCCCATAGCATAGTCTCCGCGCGTACAGCCACTTTAGGTGTGCTCCATGCTCCATTTTCCTACTCAGTGGGGTCCTCCCAATAAGGTGGCGTACCATAATCATCCTCAGAACCGTCCTCGCCATCACTCCCGTCATCACTCCCGTCCTCATTCCCACCACCCCACCAAAACAATTCCTCACTAGAACCATACAAATGCATGCCACAAATCAACCATGTCTCATCAAGACGTTCCCTCAACTCCTGCATCTTATCCATGAATCGATTTCCCCCTCGGCGCATTCCCCCCGTAGTCGCCACCGTCGCCCCGTCTACTGGCATATTGGCCAGTTCTTTGCGCTCTTGCCCCGACATGTCTCTGAGGATCCCAAGCATGCCGAGACAGTACTCGTCGGATTGGTCCTCGGTAATCCAACCTGGAAGCTGCTTTTGCAATTCTTTGTCCCGTGTATCAAGCCATGCAAATGCCATTCGTCTAAGCGTATTCAGCGCCGACTTCTTCGTTTCGAACGACGAATAGTAGTATGTTCGGCGCCAAATTTCGCGCATCTTTGTGATGAAGCAGTTTGCAATTTGTTCTGGATTTCTTGCTAGGTGCGCTGGCTTTGCTTCTTCATGACGTATGACTTCTTTGAGCGCGTCGACACTGTGTGAAAAGTCTTTGCGCTGCTCTCGTTCTGCCTGCATCTCTTTTTGCCGTTGCAGGTGGGAATGGTACTCTTGTCGGATTTGGGCTCCGATCGAAGGGTCGCGGAGATTTAGTTTGACGAGCATTATTTGGCTGAAAGTATGATCTGTTTGTGAATTGTCGAGGGCACTTAATGCAGTCCAAAGGTCGTAGACCGGTATATTCGGGTTCGTTGTGGTAAATGATCTGGCTATTGCGGATGGATTTACGTCGCTCTCGTCACGCTGTCGCTTGAGTGATGGCTCCGTCATTTTGTTCAGCAGATAGTCTATGAGCGTGGTGCAACTCGCGTTTTGCGCAAAGGCGAGGAAGAGTCAACGTATAGTCGCGACAGCGTCGCGAGGTTATGCGATCCGGCAAATTCCACGGCGAAAACAAGAAGGTCATCTTAATAAGTGGAGCATCTCTACTGGATCGTGGTCTCTGTTCCATCCGGAAACGTCAAAGTTCTTGCAGCTCTCAATGGCCTTCACTCACATCGACGTTCGAAGCCCAATGCGAGCCCTCTCATTGGCCGCCCCACCCACTAGTGGGTCCACATTAGGCGGCTTAGGGATCAATCCAAACGCAGTTGAGAGCCTCATGCAACGCAAAGATTTGAAAGTGGTGCTCAGTTGGTAGCTGCGCAGATGCTGGCGGCGTACACAACTTGAGATAAGATTACTAGGCAAGGGTACTAGAAGCTGTCGGCGATTGGGCTGACTCCTTGTCATTGGTGTTAGGACTTCCTAACTCGGATTACGGATCAACCTCTTCTCGCTATCCCCTTCTTGTGTTTGGCTAATATACATCGGTTCATCGTGTCAGTTTGAGGGGCGCCGCGGGAGTTTTAACAGTCCAACTACTCCTCTTTTTTCGACCTTCCATTCCCAGGCTTCGTGCCATATATTTCGCAGTTGGTAGCATCCGACGAAGGGCTCCCTTCATAGTCCTCTTACGCTTCTTCTTCTTCTTCTTCGCCTTCGCCTTCCCCGTCCTCGTCCGTCTCATCCTCACAAGTAAGATTTGTGATCACGTCTTGTAGCCCCTCGAAAACGCAATGATCGTCTGCAAGCTCTTTGAGTTGCTCCATTGCTTTTAGGAACGGCCTACCCGAATATTCTAGGGCACACACCCTCTCGCATTCCTCCACGCTCATCTCGTCAATCACGGCGTTCATTGAGCTTTCCAACGAGTCATCCATCTGGAAATGATTACGGATTTGTTTACCGATCTCCTCTTGGCCTCCGCATATTGACACTGCAATGCAGCGCAGAGCTATAAGCGCGTTTATCTTCGTTCTGAGAGAAGCATACTCCTGAGTGGTTTGTTCGACAATGAGTGTAAATGCTTCTTCGATTTGTCGTATGACGTCGGAAACGGCGTCATATTGCTCGGAACCGCTCAGATCCATGTAACGCTCTTCGATTGAATAATCACTTTATCGGCGTGACTGCTGAAACTGATGACCTTGTGACGCTCTCGCTCAATGTATTCCTCTTTGTGATTGCGCAGGGTTGCGGCGATCTCTGGTGTAGCTAGAGCTGCCTTGAGAAGTATTTGCTTGGTGAGCTCGCCATCGTCGTCTGCATACAGCAGCAGTTCGATGCAATACTGGAGATCAGCTTTGGCGTAATAGTCGGCGATAAGGTCGGTGAACGTGGGCTGCGCGATCGAATCACCGTTGGTGTTGGCGCGTTGTCGTTTATGTGGCGCTTCCATTGCTGCTCGCGAATCCGTAGGACGTGGACGTGATGGTAATGTATTGTGATATCTTAAGATGTAGTCGTGACGCGTCGCGTCGTGATGTCGCAGATGATCACGCGCGTTGCGCGGAGATACGTTGGGACACCCACATGAGAAGCGGGAGCTGTCTCGGAGCGACTAGAGGGACGCGTGTTCATTTTTTGCCGTTTCTCCGTGCCCAGGAATGCAGTATAATGATCCGAGTTAAAAGGTTATTGACCCGGGTCAAAAAGTTATTCGTCCTGGTCAAAAAGCTATTCATCCTGGCTACTTTTGGCGCTAGCGAAAGTTATTCATCCTGGTTAAAGGAACATCAAAAGTCATGCGACGGTCGGCATCAACGCATGGCTCGACTTCCTTGCCCTGCGCGTATCTCGCGTCTTTAAGAAGTGATTTCTGACCAGCATCAGAGAGATAAGGCGTCCGCCTGCCGAAGACGGAAGAGACATCGACTAGCCAGGGGTTTGATGCAGCGACTCAGGCGGTATCTGGTGTGATGATGTTGGCTTCTTGTGCTGTCACTTCTTCAGTCGCAATATGGCGACGTTTGGAAGGTAGAGACTGCGACTGCTTCGACTGTGTAGCAATGATCATACGACGAAGATGGGCGGACGCATTGTGAGAGTTTGACGAGGTGGCTGGTCTGATGGAAACGATGATGCTGCAGCAAGTGACGAGCGTGTGGGGCAAGGTGCGACTGACAGCTTATCTCCGGGCTGCGCACCCAATACTCCACGCCAGATTCACATGCAGCGACAACAGTCGAATACAGCGAAGGGTGAGTAGGCATATGGTGTAGAAGTGTTCGAAATCAGCGTAATACCATCAAAAAGAGCCTGAACCATGACTTTTGTTAACGTATCTAGCCCCTTCTAGAGCCACATCCTCTATACACACTCCTGTCACTCCAACATGAAGCAAGTGGGCTCAGATAACCCCAGGATGGGTGGTGCACCCAGCGTCACGCTTCCAGAAACATCAGCCACCCTCAACGTAGAAGAGTACGCATCGCAACCACAAAGTCACGGCCGTACAGGTTTCCCCAAACAAGGTGGACAGTCACTTTTGTATTGGTTGCAGCAAGTTCGATGCGATCCACTTCTAGACCATCGCACTACCAATGAGCTACCACAAGAAGCCGATACGGTCATCATTGGATCTGGTCTTACAGGAACGCTCGTTGCTAAGCACCATCTCGAGACGTTCCCCGAAAAGAAAGTTGTTGTCATCGAAGCGCGGGAGTTTTGCTCTGGCGCAACAGGTCGCAATGCGGGCCACTGCAAACCTGATCAGTGGCGAGGTTACGAGAAACACGCCAAAGCGTACGGCCATGAGCAGGCGGTCAAGATCTTGGACAACGAGCAAGCTACGTGGGAAGCGTTGGTAGCATACGTCAAAGAAAACAACGTGGATTGCGATCTCTGGTTTGGAGAGACCCTGGACGTTCCCCTAGACGAAGAAGTTGCGAAGATAGCTAGAGAAATATTTGAGAGGTACGTGGAAGCAGGTGGAAAGGTTGACCATATCCAAGTTACCCACGATCCTGTCGAAGCGGCGCAAAAGTCTCGGATCGAGAGTGCGAAAGCTTGCTATGCATGGCAGGCATCGACGCTACAACCGTGGAAGTTGACTGCACATATCATGCGCGACAATATTAGCAAGGGCGCCAATCTCCAAACTCGCACTACTGCGAATTCAATCTCAGGGGGGACAGGATCTCGAAGATGGAACATCCATACGGAGCGAGGGGACATCGCATGTGACACCATTGTGCATGCTACGAATGCATACAGTGCAGCACTCGAGCCATCACTTCGCGGTATCATCACGCCCAAGCCGCATATGTGCAACAGAGTAGTTCCACCGCAAGCCTTCAGCGGGTCAAAGGCTATCAGCAACTCCTATGGTGTTCTGCTTCTGGATGGCGCGTTATTCAGCATCAACCCGCGTTCGTCTTCCGATGGCAACATTATGTTCGGTGGCTCCAACCCTGGACAAAAGGAACTGGATGCGTGGGTTGAGAAGAACCCAGAGAACTGCATCAATGATGGACTTGCGAACCTGGAGGGTGTGACAAAGCATGTCAAGAAGTTTGCAGAATCGGAATTCAAAGGTTGGAAAGACGCCCCTATAGGTCCAGGGGAAGGCTATGAGTATAGTTGGAGCGGCATTATCGGGCTGAGTGCGGATGGTGTGCCGTTCGTCGGAGAGTTGCCCGGAAAGCCTGGTCAATATATCTGTGCCGGCCATCATGGACAGTAAGTTCAATAGTCCACGAAGAAGTGCGAGGCTAACATCGGGACAGTGGGATGGCGCGAATCTTCACAGCAGCGCCTGGCTTGGTGAAGCTCATGAATGGTGAAGACTGGGGCGCGACGGGATTGCCAGAAGTGTACCAGATGACAGCCGAAAGACTCGAGAAACTGACGAGTATGGATCCCGCACCTGCCATCGCGGTTATATGAGGAAAGGAGTTCGTACTTGCATGACTCGCGCACTTGAACCGTCCCTTTCCTTTCTCTTAGCTACCAAAAATAGCACGCAGAACCACAAGAAAACACGAACAGCGCACAACTTTCCGTAACCATGTCTGGGACGCTTGCGCGACCGCAATTTCGACCCCGTCACCTGCAGTGGTTCACGAGCGTAAGAGGCGGTGAACTGTCACAGTCGGAACCGTGAAATCACATGCCACAATCCACACTTTTCCTCTTTTCTTTCCTAACGCAGTAACTTTGTAACTCGTCTTCTGCTCGCCCTGGCTTTAGATCGTGGTAGCGAGGCCGCAGCGGTAATTTGCTTGGTGTTGTGCCGCTGCGTAGCTTATTGGTTTGGGTGTTGTGGAAATTTGACACGGCGGTGTCGTGCTAGGTGGCTGTTGCCGGTAGCGAGGGAATAGGCAATATAACGGCAGGGGCGATAACGGTTTGTACGACCGTAAGCGCATGGCTCTGTATGGGAGGTTACATCTTCAGATTCTCGGTTTGCAGCTTTGTCTTTGGGGTCGTGACAGATGGTACTCTGACAGCTCGTGGAAAGTGCGGGGTGCGCTCGGGCCGACATCGATGCGGCGGGTACGAATGACTTCACTCCGGACTATACATGTCCGCTAATATATACTTCGGATGATAGCCAGGGCTAGACGAGAGCCAACACTGGTCGTATCTCACGATTGCAGGACTACACATACCGGAAAGTTTGCGTCATGTCTAGCCTACCAGACAACATACGCAGGACACTCGAAGTCCTACTTCCCAAGATCAAGTCGCGACATGAGGAGTCGTCAAAACCTATCATACTTGGTATCACCGGTCTGCAAGGCTCAGGCAAATCGACATGGGCATCGGAGTTGGTCAAGATTCTGTCGAAAGACCATGGCCTCCATACGATAACCGTTTCACTGGACGACTTCTACAAGACGCATGATGAGCTAGTGGCCCAGCGGGATCGTGATCCAAACAACAAGCTTTACCGTACTCGTGGACAGCCTGGTACACACGACGAACAGCTAGCCCAAAAGTTCTTCGGCGATCTGAAAGAGTACACCGGAAAAGGTGACCTCAAGATACCCAGCTTCGACAAGAGCAAGTACAACGGCGAAGGCGACCGAGCACCTGAATCAGAGTGGCCAACAATCTCACAAAAGCCCGACGTTGTCGTCTTCGAAGGCTGGTGCGTCGGCTTTCAGCCAGTTCCGCAGTCATTCATCGAAGAACGACATTCGTCGGCAAAAGCCGGGAAGCTCACCGTCAACACCCCTGCAAATCATCAGCTTCCCCACTTATTTGAGGTGAACGACAATCTCAAGCGTTACTGTGACGCCTTCATGGGCCCTCAGCACTTTGACTTCTTCCTTCATATCGACACGAATGATCTGAGGAACGTGTACACGTGGCGGCTGCAGCAAGAGCATAAGATGATTGAGGTCAAGGGGTCGGGGATGTCGGACGAGCAGGTTCGCGCGTTCATTGATGGGTATATGCCGAGCTATGAGATATACCTAGAGCGTCTGCGTGAAGGACTGTTTGATGATAAGGGTAGGATGGTTAGGGTGGTATTGGATAAAGAACGACGGGTTGAGAGGATTGAGGAGCTGTGAGAAGCTGTGGGTTCTATATCGATATCCAACCACCCTTGGCCGACGATAGCAGAAGACGAGAAGGGATGATGGGACAGCAGAAATGAAATGCTGAACTGGTGATTATGAGATCGGGAGATCTGCTGAATATCTTTTCGCAGCGTGCGCTTTATTCAATATACTCACTTTCACCATCGCTGCGCTTAAGTTTCTGTCGTACTAGGACAATCGTATTTGCCCAATGAACACCCCACCGCCAACGCCACCTCTTTGATTTTCATCGTCGTTCTGCATTTGATCATGGCTAACGCGAACCACTATCAGGTCCTCGGTATCGATATCCAAGCTAATGACGCCGTGATCAAAAAGGCATATAGGCGGGTTGCGCTCGCGAACCATCCCGACAAGACCCTGCACTTGTCAACAGCAGAAATCGAGCAGCGAACCAAAATCTTCAAGCTAGCGACTACAGCGCAAGAAGTGCTGCTCGACCCGGCGAAAAGAAAGAGCTACAACAAGACACTAGCGCGGGCAGTGAGGCCATCCAGTGCACCAACTGCGCGACCTCCCCAAGCGCGACCTCCCCCAGCGCAACCTCCTCGAGCGCGACCGCCTCCGGCCTCTGTCTCCCATGCACCAGGCTTTAAAAGGCCTCCGCCGCCCCGAACCACATCGAGGGGGACTGATCCGTTCCAGCCTCCGAAGTTCCACTACTTCGGTGGCCCAAGAGAGCCGCCATCAAGCAAAGCAACGCAGACACCACCCCAGAACACCCACCCCTTCACCACCGGCAGTCCAGCCACCTACCCCCCACCAACCCCCTACTTCTACGCCCCAGTAACAGAAACGCCCCAACGCACAATCCTCACCTACTCCAACAACGACAAATGGAAGTTCA